CAAAATTTAAACTGAATCGCAAACTACAAAATCTGAAGTGAATCGCAAACTACGTAATTTTAGCTTGTTTTGTTGAATCTTTAGATTTTGTTCCTTTCTCTGTGTTTTTCTACTTTTTATCACTTAATTCATTTGGTTTTTGATCTTACATTATAATAGATAAGGTTTCACTTAAATACAAATATAAGACTCATTCAAGCCATGACATGTGGCCAAGTTCAACTTGATTCAAGAGTCAACTACTTGATTCAAGCGTGAATTGTAGCCACCCATTTCGCTCTAGTTTTCTTCTCCTCCTAAGAATACTTGACAGCATAGTCAAAGCCCATTTATAGCCTTTAAGAGTAAACCGTAGCCACCCATTTCGCGTGGCCACAAAGTGACCGCTTGGTCGAACTATGACCACTCACTCAGAACTTGACTATCATTTAGCTATTTGGTTAAATCTCCATCCCTCATTCCACCTTGTGCGTAAAGTGATCACTTAGTCAAATCATGACTTCTTATTTGTGACTTCTTAGTTGTTTGGCTAAAAGCATATAAAAATATTTTTCATATAAATAAATAATATTTTTATTAATTTTTAAATATGAAGGATAAAATTTTTATTTAAATCCAATAAATTCTTTAAATTTAAAAAAAAAAATATTTTTCAAGAAAAAAACTTAATAACCGAGATAAATCATAAAAAAAATGTATAGAAATTTATAATTTATCATTTAAAATTAGGATAAAGAATAAAATTTGACTCTTTAAGTATAGAGAGTCAAACTCACTCTTTAATTTATATTTAAAGAATAAAAAATCTATTAAATTCTTGTTTTTATAAATAAATTTTTTATAATAAATAGTTTAAGTCATACGAATAGTCCTTTGAAAATACGATAAATCTTCACCACTCATTTCACTTATTCATAAAGTGATTGTTTTCACTTATAGTAATGCTACAATTACCAAAGATTACGCACCGAATCTGTATACCGAATAACGTGATCAAATCTTAACCGTTGATTCATTATCAATTATTATTAATTAACAGTCAAAATTTTATCATGTCATTTAGTACACAGATTCGGTGTACAATCTTTGGTGACTCTATTATTTTTCTTCCACTTATCTGCTTGCTACCCTTTAGCCTTTTGGATAAATCTCGCCCACTCATTTAACAAAACTTGGATCAACTCACTTCTGAGCTTTGATAATGGGCCTAATCCAAAAACACGCTATTTTCAAAACATTTGACTTAACGCTTGGACGTGTGATTTGTAAATTTTTATTTATTTTTTTTCTTCTTTTTTTTAGAGACAAAAAAAATAAAAAGTCTAATAAACTTCAATCAACTTTCTCATGTAAGATTGACTAATACTCATAAAACTTTTTAAGTCTGCATTTTAAAAAGAATGGAGACATTCGGATGCAGGGGAAGCGAACTAATGTGAGTATATATACATGTATCTACCAATAACTTATAGGAGGAGAATCCCGCTTAAAACTAGGCCCAATATTTAAGCACTGTTGGGAATTCGGTGTGTTCTATAAATCAACACTTCTTTTCCAGGAAAACGGGGTTAGTTTTTTTCTGCTTGTTAACAGTTCATTTCAAGGTTATCATAAATTATAGAGTTCCTGATTATGTTTCTTTTCTAAATTCTTGCATCAAGAGCATTCTCTGAACCAAATAATCTTTCTTATAGTGCGTGTTACACTATTAAAAGAGGAACAAGTTAAATATTCATGATCATCTTTCTTAATTTACGACCAAAAAAATACATGATCACATTGACATTACGATACATGTAGGCATCTGCTGCGCATATATGAGTTTATACTATCATGCCATTGATTCAAACTTAAATCCATTATAAAATCATATAATGCTTAAACATCATTGTTGGATCTTCTTTTTGTCTTCAATGCATCCAAGAATTGATCTACGGCTTTTGTAGAACACCATTTAGAATTTGATTCATCTTTGATGGCTGTGTTAATTATCTCCTTAATTTCCCTACGTTTCCTCAGGTTGATATTTTTATCTTGTTATACGTAAAATCACAGGGCATGAATTCTTGACAGGGTGACTAAGCAAACTAGAGCATTTATTCTCTCCTCGTGTCCTGTCACTATGTATCTATCTAGGTCACGTGTCACATATAAAAAGAGTAACTTCACTTATAAGGCTACTAAAGATTGCTTCAACAATAAGGTTCAAGATTGAAAGTCGCGTGACCCTTTATGAGATGACTACTTCACCGTTAAGTCTCTAATAAGGGTGGTTTGTCAGACCACATATCATGTAGTTAGAGGATTGCTTCATGAGTAAGATCACCCATCCAACAATATAAATAGGGGTCTTCCACCCCAAATCAAGAATTTCATTTTCTCAATAGCTAAAGAGCAATTATCTCTCTTGAGAATAAATATCTTTTGTAAACACATTAACACATCAATAAAATAACGGTAGACATAGGATTTGTACCTTGCATCCGAACCATTTTAAAAATCTTCTTTGTCTATTCTCTTTTTTTTTACTTGCACGTGTCATCGTTATTATCGCCCACAAATTCAACGTCATATTTCACGGTTTCACATAGACCCTTTGCGCAAACTCTCCTAAAAGGCTCGCATACTTCTCGTTGGTACGAAAAATCGCAACAACATATCTCATAAATCTTTATCCGTATTTTTGTGTCACTGTGGATGGAACTCTGTGATTGAAGCACTGAGCCATGGGGTGCCAATAATTGGGTGGCCATTGCTGACAGATCTGTTTTACAATGTGAAGTTGCTGGAGGAAGAAACTGGAGTTTGTGTGGAGTTTCCGAGAGGGAGGAATGACAGCCCTCGTCCAGATTCTTCGATTCTTTCTTCAAATCCTTCAGGCAGCCATTCATTGGCTTTAAATTCAGAGTTTATGTCAAAACCTAATGGTGACATAACAACCCAAATGAAATTCTTGCCACAACCCTCTAAAGCCATTGCCAATTGCATCATTTGTGATGCAGATATCGTGTTCTGTGAACCAAATGGAACATAGAGAACTGAACAGAGACGTTTCTTATCAAACCAATTTTTGCAGTCTTCGGAGATTCTAAAATCTCGATTGCTTCGCGCTTTGCTTCCTGGAGTCAAAAGAACTGGCCCAACTGGCCGAATATGTAGGGCGAATTTTCTCCTAAATTACATTAGTCCAAGCTTGCCAAATAAACTATAACTAAACTACATTGATAAGAAAATTAAAAGCTTGTGTGATTCAATTAAAACATAATTCAAAATTTTGAGTTGTATCTTACTATTTTTATTATTTGAAAATGTGTTTGGTATAATATTCAAAATTTGTTTTTAATAAAAAAACAAAAAAAAAACAAAAAATATTGTGAAAACAATTTTTAATTGTTTTTTTTTCACTGGTTTGAAGGATTATATCCAAAAAAAAAAAATGTTTTTAAAAACATTTTGATTCATTTCAACCAACTTATTTTTATAATATTTGTCGTATCTTTAAAAAAAAAAAAATTACATTTAAATTATATATCAACGAGTCCAAAAAATTATTAATTAATAATTCTAGGAAACAAGTTAGTGAAGCCTCATGATTTGGATTTATGGGTAGGGCCTTAGAGAATTGTGGTTTATAAGGGCTTGGACACCCTCTCTTGACAAGCCGGTTTTACAAAGAGAGTTATACACAAGCCCACAAAAGGACCACTGTGTAGCCCAATTCTTATAAAAGGCTCACTGTCCAGCCAATTCACATCAATTTGGAAATAGATTCCTATCAAATGGTATCAAAGCATAATCATGCGCCTACGTGGACGTTGCCTACGTGGCAAGCTGACCTTGGGCTCAGGTTACTACCCCAAGAAAGGGCATGGAGGCCGGAGGGAAAGGGGATCTGCATAGTCACCCAATGAATAAAGAGCCGACGGAGGTAAAGAGGCCAACGTAGACGTCAATTGCAAAAACGTGGTAGTATATTAGGATCCTAGATTGAAAGGGAAAATGGTTGTGCATGTGGTTTATAAGGGCTTGGGCACCCTCCCTTAGCAAGCTAGTTTTCCAAGGAGAATTATATCTAAGCTCATAAAAGGACTATTATCTGACCCAATTCCTATCAAAAATATATTGTTCAGCCAATTCATATCAATTTGGGAATGGGTTCCTATCAGTAGCTAAGCAAATCTTTGTAATTTTATATACTCCCCTTCTATCATTATCGTTACTTTCACTTTTTTCAAAACCCTACCTATCTCATGTCCATGCTCTCTTTTTCTCAATTCATGCCACCAAAATAATGCAACAAATTATAATCTAGTTTCCGTACACAACACCTTATATTGTCACATCCTAATCCGAGGAAAATATAACAATCAATATATTATTATCACGTAATTTTTTAAATTAATTACTATCAATCACTAAATAACACGTGCGACTAAGCTCAACTAATATAAACATCCCATTTCTTCAAAAATCTCAAAACAGAAAAATATAATAAGTGATGCTAATAGCCACTGTCATTTTTCTAAATTAGTCCGGCCCCGTCACAAATTTAAATCGGTAGGTCTAAGGTCAGGCAGCAATTTCCTCTTTGACAAAACCACAGCTTTTTTAATAATAGGTCCCAATAGACCAAACTTCTCAAGCTCCTCCGCTCTGTTTCCTTTTTATCTCTATGAGAAGAGCCAAGCTAGTGCCTTAAATGAAAATATTACCGTTGTTGTATTGAGAATAAAAGAGGAAGAAGTAGAGGAGGAAGAGGATCAATAATGAAGAAAGGAGAGGACAATGAAGCAACCTGCAGCGTGAATTCTTATTCAGCTGGGGTCTGAGAGTATGTGGTCACAAATTTCACTCTATATCTCTTCTTTTTGAAAGGTCTGAGCCTAAAATTTTAATATCAATTTCGTAACTTAGAAATGAAAGCATTGCCCGCCATAGATGAATGATTGTAAATTAATTCACAAATTTAAAATATATGCAATAATTTACCTAAAGGAAAATTAATTATAATCTTGGGCAAGCTCACTCTTAATCATAGTAATAGGGATCTTACAAAGTACAGTTGATTAGAGACAGTATTACTTTCTTTGACGTTATTTAATTAATACAAATGCAAGATTTTTCTTCATGAACTGACAGAGGAGCTCCATGGATTTCCCCTTTGTCTTCTCCCCTTAGCTTCGATGCAGCATTCAAGAATTGATCCATGGCTTCCATAGACGACCCTTTAAAATTTTCCTCATCTTTGGTTGCATTGTTAATAATCTCCTTAATTTCCCAAGCTTTCTTTCTCATTTCCTTTCCTTTCTCACTCTCATTCATCACCAACTCAATTTTCGCCACTATTTCCTCACGAAAAATCTCACAGTTCTTCCCTCTAGCAACCTCCACACATACTCCAATCTTCTCTTCCAACAACTTCACATTATAGAACTGCTCTGCCGCCATTGGCCACCCAATCATCGGCACTCCACCGCTCAGTGATTCAAGCACAGAGTTCCATCCACAATGACTCAAAAATGCAGATAAAGATTCGTGAGATAAAATCTCCACCTGGGGTGCCCATGTATGAACTACTAGTCCACGTCCTGAGTCTCTGATCCTTTCTTCAAATCCTTCAGGCAACCATTCATTGGCTTTAAATTCTGAGTTTATGTCAAAGCCAATTGGTGGCCTCACAACCCATATAAAATTCTTGCCACAAGCTTCTAAAGCCATTGCCAATTGCATCATTTGTGATGAAGATATGGTGTTCTGTGACCCAAATGACACATAGAGAACTGAACAAGAAGGTTTTTTATCAAGCCAATTTTTGCAAATCTCTTGTGATAGACCAAACTCTTTACCAGCTCGAGCTTTGTTTCCTGAAGAGAAAAGAACAGGCCCAACAGGCCAAACCGGTCGGCCGATTTTTCTCCTGAAATAGTTTAATCCTGTCTTGTCAAATTCCTCAACTGTGTTAACCAAAATTGCATCAGCTTTGACCCAAAGAGGAAACACTTTCTTCACAAAAACTGAAAAAGAATCACTCCCATCAGCAGCTCTTAAAGTATCTGACATCTGAGTAACATGAAGAGTAGAAGCTTCAGGAAAATCAGGCAACTCAAATTCATCAGAATCTGAGTTGCTATGTGGAAGGTTTAGCCACAAAGAGTAGTAACAAGCAAAGCCAAAGCCACCACCTGCAACAAATATAGCATGAAACAAGCCAAACTCATGAGCGATCTCCGCACAGCATCCAAAGAACATGCTTGAGATGATACAAAGCGGACGTTTATGCTCATTTTCATCCTGGAAAAGCTTGGAGATGAGGTTTCGGAAATGGGGTTTGAAAGATAAAGAAGCTTCAAAGAGCTTGGGAACAAGATCATAGGGAACTGAGTCGGTGTTCTCAGTGTGAGGAGGGAGCTCATGATCTGAGCTATTAAAAGGGATTTCGAGGAGATGAATGGAGGAGTTTGAAGGGAGAGATGATCTGAGGTTCTTGATGTTTGAAGGGGTGTTAACAAAAGTTATGGTGTATTTGTTTGTTTTTTCGATGCGAAGGGCTAAAGCTAGGAAAGGGATTATATGGCCTTGCGCCATGAATGGGAACATCACTATGTTCTCTTTTGTTGGTGGCTTTATTACCATTGTTGTTGCTGGTAAGAACCAAGAGAAATATGAGTAGAGAAGGAGCTAGGGAGAGGATGAGGAGAAAGAGTATTTTTTATGTTGTTGAGCTAGGGAGAGGATGATCCGTCTTTTCATAAACGTCATTAATGATCAAAAGAAGGTAAAGCCTAATACATCATTGGTGACGTGAGAAACATTGTAAAAAGTAATTAAACTGTCCAAAACCAAATTGAACTCTCCTTGCTACTTTTGTCACACAATTATTTAATAATTTCCTCTCTCTACTTTTGTCCTTTCTCCTATATGTTATTTGACTCTTACTTATAAAAATACAATAACACTAGGGACACCGAAAAAATTACACCGAAATTCTGTACCGGCCTACGTATAACGCGCGTCAGAATTTTTTTATAGGGAATGGCCGTCCATCAAATTTGGACGGCCGTTCACTCCGATGGACACCCGTCCATATTATATGGACGGGCGTCCATATACAAGGGACGGGCATCCCCATTTAAAGGACGCCTGTTCATAAATAAAATACAATAAAAAAATTTATAAAACATTATGGACGGCCGTTCATAGGTTGTGGACGGCCGTCCCTTAATTTTGGACGGGCGTCCACAAATATGGGACGCCCGTCCAAACTTAATATATGGACGGGCGCCCGTCCATACTTTTAATAATAAAAAAAAAAATTTAACAAAAACTCGTTTTCTGTTGCAAAACATCTTCGTCTTCATTTCCCATCTCCTCTCTTTTTCCTTGTGTTAAACTGATTTATGGCAGTGGCATCTTTTGGCTTAACAAACCTCTCTCTTATTCCTCCTACTTCTGCTTCGACTTCCTATCCCTTTCAAATGTCCACACAAGAAAGGAGGGTTTTCTGTGGCGCTTTGAAGGCTAGGTTTGGTTCTTCCAAGGGTGTCTTAGAGCGACCCGCTTTTGATCAGTCTCAGTTTGACCCATTTACACAAGTGTTAGAAGGTATTTTTTCATCTGAATTCGCTTCTCTATCTCAATAAATGCAATAAGGTGTTTTTATTTATTACTTACGAATAATTTAGAGACTATAGAGGTTTAATGTGTCCAGTTGCAGTGAACTTGTCTATTGCATAATCATGGTGGGAACGCTGATGCAATTAGACAGATTTTGGTTGACACCATGGTTCTCATTTATCAAAAGTTCAAGTTTTATATTTGGGAACAATGGGTTTTGTCAACAATTATCAAATGTCACTGGAGGTTAGGTTTTAACGATTAAGGATTGTTTTCAAAGCTGATCTTATAAACCTAAGGTTCATGAGAAATTGAACTGATATGAGGTAAACTCGGAAGTTTTGGGAGAAAACCAACACAATTTTGACTTGGTGTCTACTGGTGCATGTATATCTAGATAGAGAAGAAATGGACTCCCACTGGCAATGAAGATGAAGAAAGAGAGACACCACAGTCATTATTTGAGGCAGTGAAATGGATGTGCACAATTGGCAATGAAGACGAAGAAAAAGAGAGGAGATGGGGAATGAAGACGAGATGTTTGCAACAGAAAACGAGTTTTTGTTAATTTTTTTTTTTTTTATTAAAAGTATGGACGAGCGTCCATTGGAATGACGCCCGTCCAAATAAGGGACGCCCTCCATAATTTATGGACGGCTTCCAAATTTTTATTTTATTTTTTAAAACAAATTAAGTTTGGACGGGCGTCCCGTATTTGTGGCCGCCCGTCCAAAATTAAGGGACGGCCGTCCACAACCTATATGGCCGTCCATAATGTTTTACAAATTTTTTATTGTATTTTATTTATGGACGGACTCCTTTAAATGGGGACGCCCGTCCTTGTATGGACGCCCGTCCATAAATATGGACGGGGCATCCATGTGAGTGAAAGGCCGTCCAAATTTGATGGACGGCCGTTCACTATAAAATTATGAAAAAATCAGACGCGCGTTACACGTAGGCCGTACAGAATTTCAGTGTAATTTTTTTGGTGTCTGTAGTGTTATTGAAAAAAATTCTGACGTTGCGTTACACGTACCGGTACAGAATTTCGGTGTAATTTTTTCGGTGTCCCTAATGTTGGCTATTTAAAACCCCATAGAAACTCAAAGAAAGGCTTTGCTCAGTTAACTCAATTAAGATATTTATTGGACTGTCATGGAGATTGAGAACTTGAGAGACACTATTTGGGGCATTTGAAGCCCGACCAATTAACAGAACTCTGTAAACCAATAATAATAGAGTATGCTACACTTCAAAGAAATTTTACAAAGTCTCTATACAAAGGTGATTAGCAAAAAATGAAAGGAAGTGAATTTATGAGTTTGACCTTTTATTTCATCCTTCCATTCTTTTTTGCCACTCACTTTGTATGCAAATCTTGGTAAGATTTCTTTTAAATATAGTATTATGTAATAAAACACTCAAACAACAAATGTTTATAATTCTGATAATTTGTTTTAGTTTTTATCCATTAGTGTTAATCTAAACATTAAATCCATTGGTTAGAAGGTTCGCACGAGAGACCAAATGTATAATATTTGAAAATATGTCTAATATAATATTTAAAATCTATTTTCAGATTAAACGGCATAAAAAACTATGAAAAATGCTTGTATCGTTTTATTTTTCATTAGTTTTTTAAGATTGTGTCGAATATTATTTTTGAAAACAATCTATCGTTTTATCTAACAAATGTCACAAGATTAGTTATATTCTTTGTTTTTAAAACAAAAAAAAAAAAAAAACAAATCTCACAACTTCTTTTGTCAATCTTTCTTAATCTTTAAAAATAAAATAAATAAATAATAAAAATTAGATACATAAGCATCCAGAATCGAAGTTATACAATATACAGTACATTTTTTATGCTAAACTCATTGTTGGATCTTCCTTTGTCATTAATACAGCATTCAAGAATGATCCAGGTTCCTAGATGACCCTTTAAAATTTTCTTCATCTTTAATGGATTGTCAATAATCTCCTTCTTCCAAAGCTTTCTTTTCTATTTCCTTTCCTTTCTCAGAATCATTCATCACCACTCAATTTTTGCCACTATTTCCTGATGAAGAACCTCCAACTCCCCCCACAACCTCCACACAAACTCCAATTCTCCTCCAGCAACTTCACATTATAAAACTGGTCTGCCACCAGGTGCCACCCAATCATGCGGCATTGCAGAGTCCATCCACAATGCTTAAAAATGCGATAAGATTTATGAGATAAATATCAACCTGTGGTGCCCATTTACAAACTAAAAGCCCACATCCTGACTCTTTGATTCTTTCTTCAATCCTTCAGGCAACCATTCATTGGCTTCAGTCTGAGTTTGAATCAGAGCATAAAGGTGGCCTAACAACCCAAATGAATTCTTGCCACAACCCTCTAAAGCCATTGCCAATTGAATCATATTTGATGCAGATAGGGTTACTGTGACCCAATGACACATAGAGAACTGAACGGAAGTTCTCATCAAGCCAATTTGCATTCCTCTTGGGAGATTCCGAAATCTCTGCCGTTCGAGCTTGGCTTCCGGGACAAAAATAACGGTCCAATAGGCCAAACTTGTCGTCCGAATTTTCTCCTGAAATACATTAGTCCAGTTTGTCATCTTCCTCCACTGTGTTGAACAATTCCATCAGCTTTCTCCAGTAATAGCTGTTTCTTAGAAACACTGAAGTAATATCAGTTTCCATCCGCAGCTCTTAAAACTTCTTCCATCTGAGTAACATGAATCGTAGAACTTCGAAAATCGGCAACATAAATTCTCGGAATCCGTGTTTCGATGAGGTATATCATCCAAAGAGTAGAACATGCAGACGCAAAACCATAGAACTGATGAACATGCATGATATATTCCAACTCTGAGCTATCTCGTCACACCATCCTAAAAGCATGTCTGAGATATGCCATTGGTTTTGTCCATTTGTGATGGAAAGATTAGAGATAAGTTTCCGAAATGTTCAAAGACAAAGAAGCTTGAAAGAAATTGTAAAACAATGATCTGGAAGAGATCCAGGTTTTCTAATTAGGAGGGAGACCAAATCTAAGCTATAAAAGGGAGTTCAATGAGATGAATGGAGAGTTCTGAGGGAGAGATGATCTGAGTTTCTTGATATTTAAAGGGGTGTTAACAAAAGTTATGATGTATTTGTTTGCTTTTTCAATTCGACAGCAGAGAGGAAAGGATTTATATGGCCTTGTGCCATGAAAGGAACATCACTATGTTTTCTTTTGTTTGTGCCATTGTTGTGTTGAGAATCAAAGAGAAAAAACTGGTAGACGAGAAAGAAAGAGAGGAGTAAAATAAGCAAAAAAAAAAAAAAAAATTAATTCTTTGCAATCTGTTGAGATAAATGGTGAAGCTGATCCAGATTTATTCGCATTTTTTTGTTGTTGGTTATTAGAGAGATTTTTGTTGGTTAAAAAAAGAAACACAGGGGGTTAGAAGTGTTGAAACGTTAAGCCATTTTATGCACATGTTTTTAGTAGATGCATGCACACTACAATCTTTTGACACATTGATTTTTACAGTGAAAACAAGTAAACATGGCATTAAATCTAGGAGAAAAAAATGGTGGATTAGTTAACTTAAAGATGACAATTATAGATGGTGTTAAAATTATGTGAAAGCATTACTGTCAACAACTCCACCGCCGCATGCATGGCCTCCCTCTCCCGATAAACCCACCCTCAGCCTCCCATATTCAGACTAGTAGAGTTTCATTGTTTAAATGAACAAACATCAAATCAACAGCAATCTAATTTTCGAGATACTTAACATAAAATTATAAATCATCCCACACAAAAAAATACGATATTTACATTTATATGATTTAACATAACTGGTTTACATCAATGTATGAAAGAGAAATCTATTATAATTTCGTGAATACAACATACAAAAATATACAATACTATAGACAAGTCAAAAATTTAACAAGAATATTACAACATAATTCTATATCTCAAGTTTTGAATTTCAAGCAATGTATTGATATTTTAAATATGCACATCATAAATTACTTAATAATATAATCTAATTGTACGACTGATAATAATGTTATAACAATCCTAATATATAAATATTCAATTATTTATTAAAACCATTCATATTTCCTTATATATATTAATTCATATAAAAGACTTTTGTAGTTATGTACTTATGTGATACAAAATGGTAAAATTTACTTATGACATGATACAGTTACGACATTGATATAGTATATCTTAGACATGGTGTTGTATACTTCATTCAAAGGGTTAAAATCATAGCCCCCTTGAGGTATAATATAATAACAAATTCACCCAAGGTTTTTAAAATAACAAAAATCTTTTTACCTAAACCCTAAACCTTAAACCCTAAAAAATTACTTTGTTATGAATTAGTAAATATTACTAAATTAGTCTCTTGTCATTTATTTTAACACCTAAAACTTAAGTACTTAACATCAGGAGATTTATATTATCTCTGGAATCTCAGGGGAATATTTACATTTATCATACCAGAGGAGGATTAATGTTATGAGTAATGCTACAGCCATCGACGGTAGTGCATCGAATGACGTGATAAAATCCTGACCGTTGATTGATATTAAGTTAAAATTAATCAACGATCAAGATTTTATCACGTCATTCGGTGTACTATCATCGATAGTTGTATTATTTTCCTAATGTTATTAACCCTCTTTCAAAACTCCATAGGGGGCACTAAAGTCAAGTCATAGAGTACTTCAAATTAGGGTTTGGGCAGCCTGATTAAAATATATACTGGGGCACATTGGGCTGCTGGCTTAACAGATTGTTGGGCTAAGCTCCATTTTATAAGGCCTAAAAACTCCGGGACAGGGTTTGGGCTCAACTGAAGCCCAATCAACATTCATATATTGGGGGAATTGCATAACAGATTGTTGGACTAAGCTCCACACTAGAGTCCAATCTTAGAGAAATATAAATTTTTTAGTTGCGTACGTTCTGAAAATTTTAAAATGCAATTCTCTGTTAATTGATAATAGTAAACCCTTTACTAAAAAACTTTTATAATTTTCGATAATTTTGTTTGAGTTTTAATGGTTTAGTGTTAACCAACAATATTAAAATGGTTAAACAAGGTCCGCAAGAGAGATACATTACATGTATATATCCCGTCCCTTATTATTATTATTATTATTTTTTTTTTGGTAATATCCCTAATTCTCTTGTAATTTGAACTTTATATATACCATGATAGAGGATGCACTTGGTTTTAAATAATTAACTTTTTTTTTTTTTTAAATTATACAAAACCAAAACAAGGTGTAAGAAGGAAAATTATATAGACATTGACTTGATTAGGTGGGATATTTCACATCCTTTCACTAAAAATTGTTGTCCGTACTCCATATTATGATCTTAGCAATTTAGAATTTTATCACCAAACCCAAATATAAATAAATAAAATAACTAAAAAAAATAAAAAAATAAAAATTTATTTGGCAAGATAGGATTCCAATTATATCACTTCGACATTCTACCTAACCCCCCACCAATTAAGTTCCATACATTCCATTCCTATTTCATTTTGCCCCCCAAATACAAAAATTAACTTAAAATTCATTGAAGTAATAATAATAAAACCACCTGAAAATTTATTAAAACAACATCAATTTGATAGTTACAGACACCAAATTCTCAATTAATTTAAGCTACAGATTTGTACCTGCAAAGAACCTTACATCTCAATACTCTATCCTGCACATAAAATCCTGGCATTACCATTATTTTAACCCTGCTAGGCCCCTGTGATTTTTGCCTTTCCAAGAACAAATCCTCCATGTAATGCCCATCAAAGCTCCGGTTTTCTTCAACCCTCAAGATCCCCAATGGCGGATTGAACGAAAACGCTAGCAAATGAAGCAACCATATGCATTTTGCAGCCACAAAAAAGGCCTGCAGAAGATGTTCCGGCCATGGCCTAGTCCAATTTAATGTTGTAATTATGCAGCTCATTTTTTGGTCACAGAACTTGCTGAATTCTTCACTGTAATATTTAGTCCCTTTCCTTAAGACTTCATTCCAGCTCAGATTTCTCAGCGCAACGAAGGAGGAAAACTGCGCTTGGCGATCTTGTTGAGGGTCTAAATGCTTTGGTGAACCGTTTTTCTGAAACACACAATTCTCAAAATCCATGTAGAGTGTTTGGTTTATTATTGCTTCTAAATGGTATGAAACCGCCTTGGAGAATTTTGAAGTTAGTGATAATTTGTATGGCTGAAGAAGGGAATTCAAGTTGTCCACTAGAGATTGATCTGTGTCTTCTATTTGCGCAACCAGCGTCTTACAGAATTGCTTTACTGACAATCTTGCTTCGGAAACTATCTGCAAGAAGCCTTCCACCATTACTTCTTCACTCACAGGCATCAAGTTTTCCGAATTTCCATCAATGGACTTGCCTCTCCTGGGACCGTTTCCAAGCTTTTCAGGCAATTGAGAGTCCTTTAAATTTGTTGCTTGTCTTAATGCTTTCTTCAGGTCTTCACAGTAGGATTCCAAGTACTCCAGTCTTTGTTTCAGATCCCCTAAGGAAGATTTCATTTCAGAAACTTCATTCAACGCCGCGTCGCGATTCTCATTTGCCTCTATCAACTCTCTCTTTAATGTTTCAACTGACAAAATCCCCAAGTCCTTGAAAATCTGTGACACTTCTTCAGATTCTGTCCGGTTTGGGGAATTCTCCCACTTGTGCTTCTTCTTCAACCTGGGAAACAACCACGAAATCACTCCCCGATTTTTTGGTTGGGATTGGACTGATGAATGAGAATCTGTCAATGGCACAACAGTGTTAGAGTTCTTGATGTTGTTCCTGGTGACAATTTCGGGCTCGGTTGTGATGGTTGCAGGTTTGCATCTATTGCAAGACGATATTGATTTGAAGTCTCCCAAGCTGTTTCTCCGGGAGGATTTGTAGAATTCTGTTGTTCCTGGAGAAGTTTGAAGAACTGTGATGTGATTAGTGGTTGAACCAGTGACAGATTTTTGGTCCTCAGCAGGACAAATATGTGACTCTAAAATGGCAAAACCTGAAGGCCATCCTTTCTTTGAAGCTGAATTCTCCTTCTTGTAATCTGAAAAACCACTTTCATTTCCTTCAAGTCCATAATCATCCCAGGTTCCTGATTGATTCTTGGACGAAATTGGATGATACCCGGGTACCGGTTCGTCGTCATAACTCTGCCAAAACCCCCCAACACTCAGTAAAACACATCAAAATCGCCATTAAATTGCAGTACAATAAAGAAAAAGAAAATCACATTATAATAAAAATGCAAACTTGCAACTTACAGGAGTGAAAACGGGGTAATCCTGAGCAGTGAACTGAGAAACAGGGCGAGAAACAGGGGAGCTAGAAGGGTATCGAGAATTGGCGGGGCTGTTGCCTTGCATCAAAGCGGCATGAAGAGCTCTCAACTCAACGGCTTTTGCAATGGCGGCTTCAATTTCTTGCCTGCTAACTGGGGTATTGTTATTATTGTTGTTGTTGTTGTGATTTTGAAAGATTTGAGAAGAAGCAGTGGTGGCAGCAGCCATGAACAGGGGATATAAAGAAACAGAGAGAGTAAAACCAAAGAAAGGATGGAAAGAGATGGAGCTGCAGAGGTTGTGTTCAATGGAGGAAAAGAACAAAGGGGATTGAGGAGAGGGAATTTAAGGGATGGATTTGGGGGTGGAAGATTAACATGATATTTATCTGGTGTACAATACTGAAGGAAAAATCAAAAGATATTGAGAGAGAGAGAGAGAGAGAGAGAGAGAGAGAGAAATTTGAAGGAGTGAGAGGTATCTAGGAGTCCAATGAGTTTTTGTCTTTGCTGTGAAAGGAACTGAGAGCATGTGAATCAGAGAGAGGAAGAAGAAGAGACAGAGAGAGAAAGAGAGAGATTGGAGTTAATATATTATATTAATAGAATGAGAGAGCATGTGAAGAAGTGAAGCAATGGGAGAAAGAAAGAGACAGAGAATCAATGAGTACGTGACTTTACTAAAATACCCCTATTTACCACCAAACATTTCGATTAAATATTTGAAATAATACCCAAATAAAAAAGTATTCCATGCTTAAATAAAGAGGTTGGCACAATTTTTTATTTTCTAATTAGGGAATTTTTTTATATTTTTCGTTTTAATGTAAATTTTAAATATATTTAAACACATGTTTATTACACAAATCATATAAGTTCGAGTGTCTTTATATAAGAATGATCATAATCAGAAATATGTTTTTATTAATTTTAAAATTCGTTCAAAATATTCTTAAAAATTATGAAAATCACGAAAAACATGTTTTTAAAATTCCTATAAACCTAAAAAGTAAATTTTCAATAAGTAAGTCTACTTATAATTGGGTCAAAGTTAGAATAGTAAATATAAATTTCTTTTTATTATTTATTATTATTATTTTGAAAATTAACTCAATGACCAACATGATTATAAATAGTTCCACCATAGAGCCAGTATTATTCCTATTTTTTTTTTTTTTTATTGTTCTTATTATTGTCTTGAATTGATACTATTATAATCTTTGTATAATTATCATAAATTTATCAAATGTGTTGCCTTCTAAGGGGGTTTGCTTAGACCCACATCGATTGGACTTGTTTACTTGTTTTATAATCTCAATTTTATTTAAACCATTTTCCATCTACTTGGTCCCCTAATTTTGAATTTTCAACCTAATCAAGATTTAAATTCATCCTAAAGGACAATTACTTCATTAAATAGGTGCAACTAAATTTCAAAGGTTTGATATGTTATCGATTAAGTAATATGACCTTATACGGTCACGGGTCACACTACATCTCGAAAATATTAAGGGTAAAATCATCCAAAGATAGAAGTAATTTCGGGTGAAACACAAAATAAAGTTAATCTAATTTTAATATAAGTCGATTCTATGATATTGTCAAGCCAATAGAATAGTATGACCCTACGCGGTTATATTACAGCTGGGAAATAAGAAGGGTAAACTGGTCCAAAGAAAAGTACAAAGGTGCCCAGAAGCAGAAGCAATTTTGGCCGAAAAGGGGGGTGAGGTGGGGGACCGAGATATCCAATACCTTCCGAAGACTCACTGTCCATCTATCTCTTTTCTCTTGAACAGTGCTTCCTGTGAGGGAGGATAATGCCACAGTGGGGACCAAATTGTATAATTTTAAAACTTGATTACTTGTAAAGTAATTAATTAATTACTTAATTAAAGCAAAAGAACATGAACTGCCTATATTAGAAGGAGAATTTCAAGGAATCAAGATGTAAATTACAAGTAATAAAACAGGGTTTAATTTAATTTAGTTAATTATTAGTTTATTCCAAATGGAATTCCAAGTAGGATTAATGTAGATATGTTTATTAATATAAAAAAAATTGTTGTTTCCCAGAAGCACTTTTGTTATAAATAAAACAATTCCCAGAAGCACTTTTGTTAAATGATTATATTATTGAAAATTATACAATAAACTTTCTAAATTCTAAGCCAACCACCCCATCAAAAAGCAAGTAAGGTTTAGTCAACCTCCACATGCAAAAAAGTGCTTTTTTTTTTTTTAATTAACAGAGAAATTTAGGGATTAAGGAGACTGATTAAATTAATTAAGCTATGACTCCTTCAAGTAAATTTAATTAATTAAAGATTAATTGGCAATTAGGTTTCATTGTTTTGACATTAACTAGCAAAGTCAAGAAAAAAAGTTTGTGCCTTCTTGTTAGGTGAGACTTTGATTAAGATTGTATTAGTTGTGAAAGTGATCTAATGAAAATTTTGTCATAAGTTTTAGCATTGAAATTTTTCGATATCGTATTCTTATTTGTCGATGTCGAAAAACGCTAAAAAAAATACAAAAATACGAAAAAAATATTGAACTAATTAGTTTTTTTTAGCATATTTTATCTAATAATTGCTTATCAACGTTATCTAATGAAGTTTGAAAAAAAAAAATCATGTTATATGTATAGTATTATTCAAAAAATATATCCAATTAACTTGTAGTAGCTAGTTCGACATATGTATTTAAATTTTTGAGAATCTCATCGTGGGCAAATATGGTAATAATGAATTATTAAATTTATTTTTTTATTATGAATTATAATTTACACAATTTTAAAGTCATAGTGGGCTATGACTTGCAAAGAAAGATTTAAAGTCTAAGAATTAGGTTATTTTCATTCTTTTCACAATAAGGAAGTCAAGGACCAATGTTTGTTAGGTGAAAATAGTCTAATAACATTGATTACGTTATATTATGAAAAGCATTTTTAAATTGACTAATTAAATAGAGTTGTTGTGGACATAATTTTTTTTTTTTTTTTTGTAACCAGGATGTTCGGGCAAGCTTGCGCACACCTCAATTAATCTATATGGTCCATCGAACATTCTACAAGCTCAAAAAACCAAGTAAGACACAATATAATAGGTGGTCCTAAGGTTCAAACGGAAAAACTCAATGAATAGAGCAAACTTCCTTGACTGTTAGGCTAACCTTTGGGGTTAATGTGGACATAAGTTTTATCCAATTAGAATTTGTTAGTTGTCACAATATGAGTCAATGTTTGGAGTCTCATTTCAATTGATGCTAACACTTTTATTTAGCTTATGGGACACTATCTCATGATATTTTCTCAATTAATTCCTTGCTTGGAATTAAAGTCTCACTATGGAATTTGTTTCATTTATGGTACTCTAAAAGTTATCACATCATGTTGCAATTTAGAATATAGATATTTATAGGTTTTGAATTTCGAAATAAATGTTTCTCATGTTTATTTACGGAATTAGTACATACTAGTATCTTTCAATCTTGAGCGTATTTAACGAAATCTTATATGTTAGTTTAGGACCCATCTTTTTTATGCATGTGACAATCTTTACAATATCAAGGACATGTACTGTTGTGTAGATGTTATTCATTTAAAATTTTAAAACAAACTATTCTCATACTCATAATTTTACTTTGGATTTCACAGGTTCTGAATATATGATAATCTTTATCGTATTAAGTCGATATTTTTCATTTAAAACTTCATACAATCATCATTCACTTTCACAATTTCATTTCTAAACTCCACCCAAATAAACATTTATAAACAATTCATGTTATGACATATCATTATTTCAATAGAAAAGTAGTCAAAATCACTCATGAATCCACCATGGCTATTATCTTCTTCAAGGAGTAATGGCTTCCATGTAAAGCAATGATAATAGATCTCCCAAAATGGGGTCCCTAATGAGCACAAGGGACCAATGGGTAGCACATGCATCATACTTATTTATTATTATGATTGTACTAGAAGAAGAGCTTCCATAAAAGTTAAAAGCTTCATCTCCAACTTTTGGTTAATTTGGTGAAGTTATTTCCACTTTATATAAAAGAGAATATTTATATTTACTTGGTTGTTGCTTTATGTTTGTGTAGATATAGTGAGTCCCCTCTTACCTTTCATTTTCATTTACAGCTTTGCCTGAAAGAAACAACAGAGAGATGCCCTTTTTCTGTCCTCAAAGAAATGGCTATCAAAGTCCAAGTATCAATAATACACCACCAAGCATGTTTGCTTGCTTCTCTTTCTCTTTTGTAATAATTATTTATATCATACTAATAAAAATAAAAAATAAATAAAATTGGGTACCACCAAGCATGTTTGCTTGCTTCTCTTTCTCTTTTGTAATAATTATTTATATCATACTAATAAAAATACAAAATAAATAAAATTGGATTTTTTTTTTTTTTTTTTTTTTTTTTTAGACTTATAGTGAAGGACAAATATAACCCAAACCCCTTTAGGAAATGGTTATTATTCCCATCGTCCTTTGAGGTTTAATTTTCTCGATAAGATCTCTGTAAATTTTCAAAATACTAATTAATCTAACCTCTCATGAGCCCAATTGACCTAAAATTACTCATTATTATTGAAAATTAAATATTCTTGTGAAAGGTTTTTGATGCTTTTAAATGGGTTTTTGGTATTTAATAGAGTATATAATACTTTTTAATATAGGGAAATACATACATACCCATAAGAATAAGAAAATTTTCAGAATATGACCACAAAAATACCCACAACAACTCCACCAGAGCTACTACTTTGAGGTAATAAAATAGTGTCAGTTTAAGTATTGTTTTGAAAGTACAAGGAGAAAGCTAGAGATAGTCTTTCTGGCTTTCCTCGTATTATGTTTTGATTTTGTCTTCTTTTGATTGTTTGATCTTTGAAAAAGAGGATTCCAATTATAATATGCTTTAAGTTAACCACAGCATTAATCTCTTGACAAAAATAATTAATTATCTTAACTTTGGTAATTAGTTTATGTCTACACTCTACACTAATTAGGAAACTTTCTTCATCATTTTATCTTTAACCTGAACCAATCTCACATATCTTGTCATATATATTGTCCTACATACAACTATGGAAGTTTGAAATGAAATAATGTTTGTGATAGTTCTTGAACATTGCTTGTATAAAGGACATTTAAATAATACAAAAATGCATGTGTTTAAACCTAAATTATTGGTTAATTTACTAGTTAAGAGATGGGTTTTGGACTAATTCAAAGATTAATAGTTTTTTACAAAAATATAATTTACTCTTGTGAGTCATAAATTAATCTCATTTATGGGTTATTAATTCAGTCAAATTTCTTTCTATTTGACTTTAACCCACCTCCTTAATTATAAGTCCCTACCTCTTAATAAGATTATGCATAATTAAATGAGATGTACCTGTTTTAATTGTTAT